TACAACGTGCACTGGATTAGTGAGCGAAATGCCGGATCGTTCCGAGAACACGGCGCGAGTACTTTATCCCCTCGGCTTCGTGCCGAGTCGCAATTAAATTACGTGGAGCCATTAACCATTTACGACAGTGCGAAGAAACCGATTTCGTAGACGAATGGACTGCGTGCGCGACGGACTGCGCGCGTCTTTGGAATTCGTTTCGACATTCAGTTCCGAGACTTCCCCGTGCGAAGCTGTCTCTTGGAACCGCGAAATTAACGGTCGACCGCAAGCGTAGCTATATACAAGTTCGTTCGATCTAATTGTAAGTGCGAACTCGCTGTAAAGTTCTCCTCGGCTTTGCGTAAACGGCACCGCGTTTCCGTCTGTTGCTTATCTATTATCGCGCGTGTTATCCGGCTACACGGCGGCGGATGATCCGGCGTTAAACATCCGTCGCTTTTGTCGAAACTCGGAATCTCACGTGACGCGGGCGCGTCGGACGATCGTGCAGATCTACTTGCATCTACCGAAATTTACGTAGATTTTAGAATCTCGTCGGGACAACGGTGTCCGGATTGCCTTTCTCGTATCGAACATTACAACTCGATAACCTAAATGTACGCGCGGTTGCGTTAGTCCGTATCCTATTGGATAGGTATATAGCTGCGGCGGACGCAGTTTCCCTGTTCAGAAGCTGAGCTGCACGGCGTGCAATGTCCGATCCAATCTGCGTGTGTATGGGCTACGGCTAACGGACGCCGACCAGGTCTAACCATCCTAGTGTACGTAGTATCGCCATTCCCTTCGATCTACATGTACGCATCGGCGCAAAGCCCAATGTAACTAGCACGCGTGTGGATACAGCCGACCGAGAACGCTGTGTTCAGCGGCACGGGATGCTCAGCCCGGAAGCCTCGCCAAAGGCGACAAGGGATGTCCGCTGCCCAAATTGCCACTCTTGCTTACATAAGCCACTTTTTCGACCCTGACGAAGCTGACGCAGAATGCGGAGAATTTACTCGCTGCTTCTTAATACTTTTACGCACTTGTACGCTAATCTTAGCCTCTAGCTTATTTTATTTCACATAGAAAAATATATCCTAATGCTACTTTCACTTATATATACAACTTTTTTTAAGATTAGTATATAAAAAAATATAATTTTTTTATATACTAATCTTATATACTAATTTTATATATAATATTTTATATATATTTATACACTCTCTAAAGGGAAAAACTGCAATAATATTGAACTGTTAAAATATTACGTATCATTTTCAAATTTTGAATAGAGTTTATATCTTTCTTTTAAGGGAAATCGCACATGTGTAGTCAGTTTAATCGAGATGATTTGAGGGAAACAAAATGGTTATGGATAGTGTGACTGGTGTGCAGTGTATCGGATGGAATGTTTGATTAGTTTCATTCGTCGGGCAAATGTCAAAGCTGCAAAGTTCTTCCAAACGGTGTTTGGTAAATCGATCTCGCGAATACTACGGACGAAGGATTTTTAACAACGTAGCTGTGATTTGCGCCTGGGCGTTTGTTTTCGGTATCGTTGAATCACGTTGTCGAAACTCCGATTTATTGTCCATGAATTTTCCGTCGGTGATTCAAGAAATGCGAGATTTATAGTTACAATTCGAAAATGACCACACTAGCGAGAGTAAAGTTGTGCAGCAGTAGGTATGCAATGAATTGTATTAATCAATTGCATTGTTTGGAAGAAACAATTGAAATTTGAAAATACATCATTTTTCCTTAATTGAATTTGCGTGTTACGTCATCTTAATTTTTAAATCAGGTTCAATGCGAAATTGGATCACTGAAGCTTTGTTAATATCGTTCATTTTGTGTTATATAAAATATGAGCTTTTCTCACATTATGTGGATAATATGTTACAGATACCGATATTATATTTAGCTCGCTAAACTCATATCGGCCAGTCACGAGATTAATTATATTGTAAACCGAGCCAACTGCAGTTCGCGAACTCGCGGACTCGTTTCCGTATTTGATATGATTCCGAAGTAATACGAATCCGGATACCGGGTGAAGCCTCGTTGTTGAATCTAGGGTAGCAATGGGAATAGTTCGTAACATTATAAGCTTTTGTTGGATGGCGTGAACTGTGAGCTAAACGCTTCTAACTCCTGTTACTAGTAACTAGTAATTAAGCGAGGCGCTGCTGTGTGAAACGACCTACCTACCTGCCTCTGTCCCTCACACCTTTCTACGGTCCCGAAGGTTGCGGCGCGAAACATCCGTGTCCGCGTATGTCTTATCCATGATGTAAATCGGTAAAAATAACGTACAGAAATCTACAAGGTTTTATAAATCCCAATTTCAATTTTAAAGCAATCCAATCAGGACATATTCATTTTTTAACGTTATTCTCATAGCTTTTTTAAACGACATATTGATAGTCACTAATCATAAGTATAGTCATAAATTTTTATGTCAGGTCTTTAAAAGCATTCATCACTCTTATAGACGAGCAATTACTTTCACATCTAAAAACGAGAAAAATATATTATTTCAACTAAATAATTGTTATTTGCTTCGAGCTGCTCTCATTCGAAAAAAGATGTACATTGAATTTTAATAGACACTCGTTCTCTCATATGCATGATTACTGCGTGATTACTTTTTTATGCAATTATACACGCTTTTCATGCAATTCTATATTACGGATATTGGATGTATAATATTTAGTAAAACACATAGTCTGAGTTAATATTCAAACCATGGTATATACGTTGAAATTTAACATATTGAAATTTACTAATACAGTACTTATTGAATAATATACTTCAATTATTCAGCTGTTAAAATTGATACGTAGAGGAAAAAATCGTATTACTTTCTATTAATATATTAAAGAACATTTATAAATTCAAAATTAATTTTTTCTTGGGCGAAAATCGATTGGAGGCTATGCTTTTACCACTTTTTAAAATATTGCTTTAATTATCTTTATAACTAGGTTCTTAATTAAATTACATTAAATTAATTAAAATTATTATTTGAAATTAACCAAAGTAAATTTTATTGTATTTTTTTTATAAGCCATATAATACAGAGTCGTTTTTATAATTTTTAAACTATTGTTTTTTAAATGCTGCATGTCATTTTTGATTAATTTTGTCTGTATAATATTGATTCTATAGTACAAATTAAAATAAGAAATTTAAACGTAATAACAGGTCTTTTATAGGCGAAATGTAAATTGTAATATAATCTACGAGGTATAACGCTTACTGGCGCCGGTATTAATAACGCCTTAATTGGAAATTAGACTATGATATAAGCGTTCGACCTTCCTTTCCTCGAGCATGGGTCGCGCCATATATGGCGAAGTTAATTCCTTTAATTAATAATACAGCTTAGAGCGTAAAGACTGCAAAGCGACAGGCAAACGCCGAGTTGCTTTTATTCGTGTGCGTTCGACAACGTAAAATTAAAATTACATTATAAATGATGTGTGTGTGTGTATAATATGCAAGCTTTTTTTTTGCTTTTATAAGATGCTATTTTAAAATTTCTAAATAGGCTCTTTTTTGATAGTTATTTTACGTTACGATGACCTAAATATTATACGATACCGTTATCGTATCAAATGTGTAGTAGATATACGGAAGAGCGTTATGGAATAATGGATTTGAGCAATTTTTCGTCGATAATGCTTCGTTGATGAGAATCAGTGTTTGTTGGCACGTTCTTTCTAAGCGTATCTAGAATAAAACACATTTTGCAATAGTCGAGGAATAGAGCAATGCCCTCGCGGATTGAGAGTCAGGATTTTACTTTTCGTACTGTATCCAATTCGGAATGATGTAAAGCCGTCTATTACATGGCCTCTGCAAATCACGTGACGTTCACAAATGCATGCAAGTCTTGGAAAACACGCAGCTCAGAACGCGAACCTTATTCTGTCATAAGAATGATTTAGGCCATATTGATTAAGAAATTACGTGAACCTATTCCTCTTTCGTGCCTTTAGATTGCCTATTCGTCACTTTTAAAAGCGCCCAGCGAATCTAACATATTTTATATAAATTAATATAAGTATATTGTAACGTATAAAGTGTACAATTAACATAGAATTTCGTAACACCTTTTAGATGGCTCTAAAATTTTTACACGCGAAGAAAGTGCAGAAAATATATATCGCGAAGTATCGTGAAAGATGTCTAAACAGAAATAATCAAAGAAATTCAATTCCGTACGTCCTATTTCTACCGTAGTATTTGTAGCGTCGATCGATTGCTTACGAGAGTCATACTGGGTTACTTTTTTAATTTAATTATGACGGCATTTCGAGTATATATTCCGCATATGTACTTTGCCTTCATTTCTGTTTATTGTACAATATTTTCAAATGTTTCTACGCGGAAGAAAGGTCCTTAATATAATTAAATTTACAGATAAATTTACTTATTTTATCCATTTAAAATAATTTTAATAATTTAGTATGATTTGTATTATTTAATTATATTCTTATACAACTTTATTATATTTATTTGAACAATTTAATATCGAGAGATAGAGTATAAAACGTAATAATTACATTAGGATTAATATACAGGATCCAAACACTTGTAGGCAGCTTTTTTTGAAATGCCTCTCCCGAATCTCTCGGTAAATTCTTTTTTCATCAAAGCCCACGCTGTTCCGAAAAACTCGTTTTCGATAGCACGAATGGTATTTTGAAAATTTTCGTGCGCAATTTCGCGTGGCGGCGCGTACGACGGTGCCCTCTCGACGACAAGGTGGTATGGGCAAAAGCGGAGCACCCCGTGGCCCCCATGCCGCTGTGGCGTGCGGGTGGCGGGGACAAGGGTGTCGGATACGAGGAGGGGTTGAATGGGGGTGGCGGATCTCCCGCCGCTCGCTTCACGGCGGATGGTTCACCGGACGCCCGTCGTCGGGGCGCTGCAGCCCGTCAGGACGTCAGTTCTCCATCGCATCGCGCCAGGGTCGGACCTGGCTCCAACAGGCGCGCACACACGTACAAGCACACACATTCATACGCACGCACGCACGCGCGCGCATCCCCTGCGTGCGGGCACTCTTGCGCGATTTCAGTGAACGGCGGGGACTAGTCGCGCGACTATGAGTGAATCACGCTCGTACTCGTCTCGGCTAATTACCATCCATCGATGATAATTGATAACGCGGGCGCAATTAAACGCGACGTGCTCTCGCTCGTACGCTCGAGTGTTCGCGCCAAGTCCGCGCGAGTGTCAGCCGCCGGGACGGTGGCGGCTGCCGAGGGTGAATAGTGACATATTCGAGAGGCGATTCGACCAATCGGTCGCGGGTCAAGTGTCGTGAGATACGGGAGATATCGACGAGCGTTTCCGAATTGTCAGGAAGGAGTGCGGACAGTACGAGGAGACAGTAAAATAGGATATTGTAGTAGTGAGAGAGAGAGAGAGAGAGAGAGACACACACGGACCACACAGTCTCGCGCGCGACTGTGACGGAAGTAGTGACGGATCGTAACGAAGGAGACAGTAGCGGAGGACCCAGTAGCGGCAGACGCGATACAGTAGTCGCGCGATAGACTGTACCGCCACGGGACTCACAGTGATAGCGGCTCGCGGTGGTCAGACCGGCTGACAGAAGGCTTTGGTGGATCAGCTGACACCACGATCCATCGCGATATAAACGCACTGTCGGATCAACGGGATATCCATGTTACGGCATGCATATCTGCGATAACAGTGAACATGCGAGCGCGCTTAGCGAGCTACGCATATACGCGTAACCGTCGCGTCTCGCCACCGACGAGGATTCAATTAAGTCTGCCGCGAGGAAGGTCAAGTACTCTATGCAAGCGACGGGGGCTAGGGGGCCCGAGTTTTAATTAAAACTCGCCCACGGGATTCCCATTATCACGCGCGTCTCGTATTCGGGATTAATTAGCTGCGTCGGGAACAAGAGCAGTAGCAGCAGAGCGGTGAAAGGTGAAAGGGAGATACGGGAGGCGTGATTGCCGTTAGCAGATCGTATGTTGTGTTCGTAATATCCGTGTGACAGTTTTGTGCGACGCGTCACGAGTCAGGAGCTTCCCGAGCCCGTTCTCGTCGTCATGAACGAGCTTCTTCTCGGGTCGCGCTGCGGCTGGCTTGGTTAGTGATCGTGACGATTTTAACAGCGGCACTTTGATTACGAATGCACCTTCGCGAGTGACAAATGGTGTAATTGCGTGAGGGGTTAAAATTCATCGTTTGGAAGCTAGAGACAGGTAGAAAAAGGGGAAGTTAGCGAGCGTCACTTGACGTGCTTCTGCCGACGAGATGTCGAAGTAGAACGATTCTTGACGATTGACGATAGGTAAGCGAAATCATAACTCGCAATTTTGTAAAGAGCTATACAATTCTCTCGATACATAATATTAAATACTTATGTGAAACGTCACATGTACGATGTTTTCTTTTAAAATGACATGGACTTATTTTAAACGTTGTGGGGTTCAATAAAATATGTATAAGTATGTAAACTCCGATATAATTTACTGTCAGTCTTTTTAAATTTACATGATGAAATGATTGATTCACATGATATTTTTGACATGATATTTATCTACTCTATAATTGTAGTACTAATAGTAACTCTATATTATTTTGTGTTACGTATAATATTATTTGTTTGATACATTTATTTAGTTGGAAATTATAATAATGCATCAATTGGTCTATTAAATATTCTGCTACACGATGCTCAATATACTGCCGAGCTTTCCTTTGTTTTTCGTCGCATTGCAGCGTCAAAAGCTCCAATGCGATATTTAGTTGTCAGCTCGCGCGGAGTATGTACCTTAGACTCATCAAATATTGGTTGCAGCTAATTACATCGATCGAACGCGCGGTCATAATTCCATTAACTTCAAGTAAGTAATTTCGATTTATTCGCGTGAAATGATGTACCATTCTGTAATGAATAATATACGCGTGTTGCAACAGAATTATGAACGTAATATCTCTCATGAAAAATACAGAGTTATTTTGTGTTGAAAATAATATAAAATTGGGTTAGAATCGTAAAAATATAATTTGAAATAAATGAGAAATATATGAAAACAGTGCGATTAACAATAGCCGCGAGAATATTATATTCCTTGCGAATTTCATTGCCCATAAAATATACCGAAATTGGAAAAAAAAACGAGTGTGTACGTTTTAATCATTCCTGAAAAAAAAAAACAGAAGCTATTGTGGCTAATAATTTTAGCAGTATTTATTGCACTGTACAAGTTTACGGTGCGGGAACGTTTCCAAAAATTGCGTATTGCGTTTTTCTGAAGTTATGTGAGAAGTTGCGTGAATCTTCATATGACGTAGCGTTATCTTAATACGTTTTTAGTGCCTAGAAAGGTGCGGCGCAACGCCTAAGACAAAAGGGCCGAGATAACCGCAAATTGGTGCGCCCGTTATCTCTAGACGCTGCGTTAATTATCCCCATTTTATAAGCATCCGCAGACGCTCGTAAGATAGCAAACAACGAGGTACCCGGACGTATCCGAGTACCTCATTTACGTGGCACAGAGATGTGGTGAGTTGTTTCGGAGTATGTTGGCTTTGCATGAATAAACACCCGGCCATTTCGTTTCAGCGCGGCGCGGCGGCGAGCCGGGCTGCCGAAATTACGCCACGGCATTACTCGGGAGCGATCCGAACTGAAACGCACGTAACGAGCGTTTCTACTTTCGCGATGTACGCTTTTCGCGAAACGACTGTTCTTCTGCGCTACCAGATCTTCCCGTTACGATCGCATACATTTCTACCCCACCACCACTCCGTGGGTCTTTACACACTCCAGTCCATCAACGTACATCAGATAATCCCCGCAAAATGCGCTTTCGCGTAATACATTCGTATCTCGTGCGCGCGCTATGTTATTCAATCATACATTCACGATACTCGGCCGTGCTTCCCTTCAGGTCTTATTAATAGCACTTACGCGCATTTACATTGAGTTATTACCGGCTGCCTGCTAGTTTGTCGCGAGATCGGTATCCTGCGCCTCCGTTTGGCCTCGCCAGCATTCACGAATGATCGATCGATCAACATCTCGTGCGGCCGAACGAAACGATAGCGATCCCGCTGTCGTTATTGCTCATAGCAGGAATGATGTTAATGGTTGTGGTGGATGCCGGGTTACGTGGCGGCCAATAACGTTTCCCGCGCGTCCGCATACCACAGGCCATGCGAAGAGTGAAAAATGTGTTTGAGCCGTGTAAATAAACGTTAAAGGGCCTGTCTGATGAGTCTCGCGAAAGCGAACGCGAAGCTGGATCGTCCCGACGAGATACGAGCTGTCTCGCTCCGAAAAGTGCTTGAAAAATAACGTTTCGGCGACGCACTAATTACGAGTATCACGACCGTTCCGTCGTTTACCGCGCACATTCGCTCGATAAACGCTTCGGCAGATTACACCGAATTCGTAGGGCTGTTGACCGAATTGGAAAAAGAGTGGGGATGGGACTAATTTAACTTTTTGTTATAAATTATGAAAATGAGATTCCGATCTCGCGCGGTGAAATTCGTAAAGTTACGCGCATCTAATACGTATAATCCTATTGTTCGATACCATTGTTGTGTACCGTATAACCGTGCAATGGCGACGATCGGCTTGTGTTTCCGAAGGATTAACTATACCACGTTGCGAATGATCAGTTGAGTGGAATTTAAAACTAATTATCCTTTGCACGAGAAAGATAGTATACAAAAGAATGTTTATTTTCAATGACCTATATCGCTATTCTACCCAGTGATTCAAACAATTCTCTTTACAATTAATGTCCACTAATAAGTGAATATTGGAGATACCATTTATTACTGATGCGAAAAATTGTACTTTGCAAAAGAATATTTTCTACCTCTATCTTTGAAAGTCAATAATTCTCAATTTCTCTCTAAAATTTTATGTTATTCTTAAAACGTATAATACATTTTGATACATTGTAATTAATGTTCTCTTTCCGTTCTTTCTTGTGAATTTTCTTATACGCTGGAAATTTTCTTTAAAATGTTATTATCTTTATCTCTGGCTCAGTGAGTGCCGTGTACGCTTTCGTTTCTGCAACGTGGACATTGCAAATGATATAAATAAAAAGATCTTATCGTATGACTGCGCATAAACGAAAACTCCACGGTGTTCCGGTTTGCTGCTTTAGTCGTACAGGTGCATCGCGAGCATTTGCGAAAGTGCCTTTAGTATTTTAGCTTGAAAAATGCGCAGGATGCAATTTTATATTTTATGAGCATCGAGCGCGCGCGCGTCTTGTCCATGCTCAAACGAAGCAACAGTTGTTACCTCCTCTCGCTGTTATTTCCGATCGTGGCCTAATCAAGAATGTTGATAATCCCACGTTTCTTTGCTATTCGTTGAAATACGCGGCTCACTGTGCTTCCAGTATCATCTATTCCGTTTCTATATTATCATGAAAATCTTCTCGTGAATAAAGAGAATATTTTATAGCATGTGAATACATTATTAGAGGGAAGAGAAAAAACAGAGCAAAGTGTTCGATAATAACTTTTTAAAATACATATATTGATTAATGCATTTTATATGACAACCCATCTTGGCAACATTTTCCGGTATTATATGTATGTATATGTTTTTATGTTCTCATTGCACAAAGAATATGCATGAGCTCATCGCGTAGGATTATGAAAATAAAATATGCGAACGCGTGGGTAATGTGATATCGTAGCTTTATTAGGAACTGGAGCTACCGCGAAAAATTCATTTTGTATTATTCATATTAGTTATGTGCGCGCGGCGCGGAGGTACGTCGAAATTCTGCGCGAAACGTATGGCTTGTGGCGTCTTGCGAAACCGTAGCAAAGCGGAATTTCAGGTTTTCGAAGCATACAGTGTATGACGATATAAAGTCCGCGCGCGCACAACCGGTGCATAAAGTAAAAGCAGACCGGGATGAAAGGAGCGGAGAACCAGCGGGAAACGTGCGACTGAAGGGTTGCCTAGTTCATGTGGAAGCTGCGAGAGCAACGATATGGATAGAGCGATAGTAGCCTATTTCGCTTTCACTGCTCTGCTTTAGCGTGAAAAGAAAGAATGAAAGAGAAAGAAAAAAAGAATCATTTGTTTGGCGCTCTAAAATTGAATCCATCCAAGTGGTAGATAAAAGATACAGATAATCTTTTAACATTAAAATTTCATCGCATTATCCGGATTTTGCTTGCTCTGAAAATTACAAATGATATAATTTAAAACATTTAATTTAATCTTTATGGACATTAAAAATTTTTATAATTACATGAATTAAAAATTAAGACAATATAAAGAAAATATATGTTGGAAATTTAATTTCTACTAAAGAATAATCTACTTTAAATTGATTAAATGATACATCTGTGCAAATTTTCTTATACTGTAATTTAGTTGCACCGTAAATAACAATCTCTTCTGATAAAGCTAGCTCGAGTCTCAGGTTGCAGCGTTTTTAGTAGATTACATGAAATATTTGCGAAAATAAACAGGAGGAAGAAAGCGGGGCGGCGATTACGTTTTGACACGGAGATACAGCGCGTGATTTGTATAAATGGAGTATGTCACGGTTGAAAGCGACTCGAGGGAGGCACGGCGAGCTATTTCGCTAACGGTTATACCGGTTATAAGGATAGGAGGACGTCGCGCCTTCCGCGGATCTGTCCGAGGACGACGCTATCTCGACGTGACGAATGAGCAGCTTCCCGGGACCATCTCGCGGAGCAGAGAGCGCGGACGCTCGAGAAAATCATCCGCATGTTCCGGGAAATTCTCGAATAAAATTTCTAGTAGATCGTATGCGACCATATAGGGTGTTTTCTTGGTTTCCCACGCTTTTCCTCGTTTAAGGACTTTAGAGCCATTTGGAGTGGATTTTTCCATAGATATAAAATGATATTTTATTCTGATATTTATATTGTAAGATTCGCGAGAATTGTTACTTCATAAAAGTAACTTTATTCGTTAAATTTTACAATAATTTCTTATTATAGCTTAGTCGCGTGCTACAAGACGTACCTCTTGTAACGGACTCGACGAACTGCTGCTGCAGTCGGAGGGTCCTCTGTTTATGTCGGAAAAAATAGAGACGTGGAAAATTCTAGGACCAACGAGTCATCTTAGTTCTCGGAAAGGGATGTTAGGCTTTCTCTTAATCTCAGAGAAACACGCATTCATTGTTATTTTAAAATATTTTAAAACGTACATATGTCGGTATCAAGTAAAGGAAATATTTTTAGTTCTATATATCCTAATCAAAAAAAAGGAAACATGCATTTTGTTATCAAGTAGAGGAACAATTAAATTTATCTTTTTAATAAAGAACGATAATATAGCTAACTTTACGTTTAAAGAAATGAAAAATTAAATAACTTTAAAATGCTATTGCAATTAAATTGTATATTTTAGAGAAAATTATGGGAAAGTTTATGAGTTTATGCTATAAAGCACTCGAGGGAAATGAAAATTGGAGATTACAATTTGCGCGCTGTTATTCATTGTCATAATATTTTTGTAGACGCGCGTCTCTATCGAATAATTATCGTTGTGCAATGTGCAGCATCCACTGCTGTCAGTAAGAGGATGCATGATAACGGGAGCGTGCGAGATTACGCGTAACAAATTGGGACGCTAACACAATCGTTTCCTCGGCTTTCCTCGCCAGTACTCTGACAACGGCAGCGTCGGTGTGCTGCAGCACTTAGCCAGGCGTTTACGAAAGCGTCGCCTTTGTAAGATAAACGCGCGACCGAACTTGTAATATCTTGTGACATCGCGCACACGCGCGGTTTAATGTAATGCGTCTTCCTTGTTCCAGCTCGTTCTAACGCACGGAAGGCGCGTATTATGTGAGGAGGAAACCGCGACGAGGGAAACGAAGATGTCCGCCGTCAGCGTCGTCGCATGGTTGCTCGGCGCCGTCGCTTTGGCTGCGATTAATAATGGTGAGTCTATTTCTATCTGGAACATCACGGATGATAATGTGGGGCTTTGCCACAAAAAAAGTCTCTCAGCATTGTATTTTAATTAAAAAAATAATTATTTATATTGAAAAAAGTTGTGCATATAAGTTTGTTTCTCACAATTCATATACTGAAATTGAGATATTTTAAATTAAGTACAGCTTACAAAAGCAGCTTTTGCTTTTGATATTTATAGATTTTTTTAGGCTAAAATTTTATTTTTTATCACTCAAATAGTTATTTTGATCATACTTTAATCATTGCTATTATCAGGTGTAGCGAAAAATAGTTACGAATGTATTGAATTCATTATTTATTGAATTTTATAATCTTTTGTATCTATTTAATTCCACGAATTGTTTATACTGATGAATAAACAAGGATTATTAAATTTGCAATGCAGAAAAATTTAAAATTAATGTTTTCGAAAAATTTTATTTGCGTCTGCTTTTCCAAATCGATTGAAAACATGAAAATGAAATAATTAATACTTTACAATCTTTCATGCTAACTTTGCACATACTTTAATGAGAAATATTTTATAGAAGAATCGTCATCTAACTAGTTTTAGTGTCAAAAATATCGTGGTTATATTTAAAGAATTGCGTGAGGATAATAATATTTATAAATAATATAACGTATAAAGAATGTTTTATTATTCGCCCAACAATATCCAGGATACGAAGAACAAACGTATTTATGTTCCCCGTGCTTTAAAATATACAAAATGACCAGTTTTATAACAGTTACAATTTATCCGTTTGCTTTTGGTTTTGCGCCCTTTTGTATTTTTTTATTACGAGCCGCACGAAACATGAAATAACTCAGAGATATGGTCGAAATACACGGTTGAATTATGGCGATGGCGCGTTTTGATGGATTCGCGTACTGGGTTGTTCGTATTACGAACGTACTAGTGTCCAAATGAAATATGTATATTTGTGGTATTTTTGAATGCGTTGCACTAGCTTTTAAGAATATTCAATAAATACCTTCGCGATAAAAAAAAACAATACGGAAAATATGTGCGAAGAAGTCGTAGAAATTGATATAGAAAGACAGTTAAGAGTATATTTCTATTTTTGCACGTTTACTCTAATATTACATAAAGAATATCGAGAGTATCGATTAAGATGCAGCCTTCACAAATTTAGACTGATTTATACCGACGTTGATGCTGGTAATCTTGTTTAATTTTATTTTTATATCCATGTTATATGAAGGACAGTTAGCCGTTGTCAGAAACATATTTCTGAATAGGACATATTTAATATTGTTGGCTCTTTATCGCGTGCGCTTCTTTTTAGAGAATTCTATTCGCTACGATTGTGTCACGAAGGTTTTATATTTCAGCGAGACGGGTATTACCGGCCACGCGTTTTGATATAAGTAGAAGAATTCGTCGCGCGAGTGGATGAAATTCTAAAATTAAATTTGCCGATTCGCGCGAGAGCCTTAGAACGTGTCTCTCCGTTCATTGTTGCGCTGTTGCGACAGTGGTCTTGTTTATCGAATCTATATGGAATTTTTGTTCCGTGAGAAGGAACGAATCGACCTTCCGTCTGATTCGCGAATCATCCGTTTCGAGGGGAAATTCGTGCGGTGGCATACGAAATTCGAGGTTCGTCGAGGTTCGATTGTCGACAGGGTATGGCACAATGATTTCGAATCAACGTGCGTCCACGCTTGTACGCGCGGATACGCATGCCGGCCTCTCGTGTGCGTGGCGCCTATTCAAGTATGATTGCTCGCTGATCCGCGACCGTACGACTCTCCCGTTTCGACGAGAGCGAAAATACAAAAATGTAGAGCCTGACCTGTTTCAATACTCGACCTACTACGGGAAAGAAGGTTTCATTACTCGCTTCCAATTTCGATATCGATTGAATCGCGCGATACCATCTTTAATAGAATGATCTTCTTCGTTAAAAGAAAAGAGAGGCATTTATACATAAGAAGCGATTAAGTAAGAATATCATTTTTTATTCATAGAAAATGCTATTAGTTCCCCTGTGAGTTTACAAATTAATTCAATTTTGTGATCAATGTCTCATATTTTCTTATTTATCTTATTCATAGGTATATAAATGATATAGATTTTTATTGAAACTGTCGAACAAATACACACGTTTCGTATAGCATTAATCTATGCTATCTTTTCGATCTTTTAATGAATCCAATTGCATTCTAAGAATCGGTCCGTATGTTCCCTTCTTGAGATTCGCACGCGGCTTACATACGCTCGTTAGATCGAGAGATCATTAAAACGTGACACAGCAGCTAGTAGCGCAGAGTCATGCTCGCTCTCTCGCACACTCGCGTAAATAACGCGTACAGACGACACGATAGTTCTCGTCTCGAGCTGCGGGCAATAAACACCCTTCTCCCGAACAAACAATGCAGCGACACGGGGCGAAAAATTAACGAGACACGCGCACCACGCGAACCAAATTCAAACTCATCTTCGCTACTTTTATCCCTTCAGTACTTATCTTTCCGTATACGAGCACCCTATGTGCGCATACGCACAATCGCATACCC